TGGAGGACCTTCCCAGAAGATTGCTGATGACGAGGTCAGAGGCAATGAAAGTGGGAGAGCCCCACACCGGTGAGTGAGGGTTCAAGGACAGCAGGTTGGCCCCTGAGCCGGAAGGAGGCCCAGTGGTGGGCAGAAGGAACTCCAGGGTCTTCTGGGCCCTTGCCCAAGCATGCTCTCCTGCCCAGGCTCAAGTAGGAGCTCTGTGCAGGAGTGTTTAAGACCAGGCTTCTGGCTCAAGAAAGCGCTTCTGAGGGCTGACCGGGAAATGTGGTCCTGCCTTAGGAGTATGTCCCATGGTGGGATGCCCTCAAGGAGAGAGGGCAGAGCCTTGGAGCCTGGTCAAAGGTAGGGACACTCAAAACGCCCCTCAGGGTCACAGCCTCAAACACACTCGAGGAGAGATGTGTGGGGCAGACTCCTTTGCCTTTTTCTTCTCTTTTCCAAAAGGCCTTGCCTGCCTCCAGCCTACCCCTCAGGTCAACAGCTTGCACTTGAGCACCTGAGGAGATATTCTCTCCAAAGTACATTACCGAGGCCTGTGGTTAATTTTTCAGGAGCTGCTTGCCTTGCTAATGGGCTGGGAAGCCAGCTGGGCCTCCATCCCTGCCTAAGTGCCCAGGCCTCCCCCACCCCCTGCCCTGCTTGGGCAGAAAGCCCGGTGCTGCCCTGCTGCAAGGCCCGCCACACCACCACCGGCTCCTGTGTGTGCTTTGCCAAGGACTCGGGCCTCTGCCGTGGGCCTGGCATCGTATCTTACCCATAATTGTACCTGGTCCTTGCGTGATAAGCCCGGCAAAGCAAAAAGTTGTGTCTTACTTCACCTGGAGAACCAGTCACATTCTGAAGTAAGTGCTGCTTGGGAAGACCTCCCAGGGCGCCAAGGCTGATGGGAAAAGGAAACTGGCCTTCTGGGCCTGGAGACTCTGCACCGTCACCACAGCCATCAGGAGGCCAGACCCCGGCCAGCTCTGGCTCTTCCTTCTGTCACCACCAACACTGGCCTCAATGGGTCTTCACCACCCTGTGCCTCGCCAGGCCCCAGGCCAGAGAGCAGGCTGGAACGTGTGAGTCTCCAAGCCCATTGGCCTGTGACACACACTTCCCCCCACCAAAAAAAAGAAAGCACCCTGGCTTTTTTAGGCTGAAATCATTATAGTCTAAGCTCCCACCACCATCTACCCAAAGTAGACCTGCCCAACCCCCACCACTGTTGTTGTTGTTGTTGTTTAGTGTTTCCCAGAAGACTGCCTGCAAGGGCTCCAGCGCCAGGTCCTTCCCCCAGCATCTGGTCTTGCCCCCGCATGGCCCATGACCACATGAGGTGGCCATGCGCCCACCTGTGTAGGCATGGCTCTTGCCCCAGAAACCACTGCTGCCTCCGATTGACAGGGGACAGAATCCCCAGTGGCCCCCAGCGCAACCAGGCCCGGTGTCTCCCCGCAAAATGTCCCACAAAGTTTCACGGTCCCCCAAGTCCAGAGCTCCGGGCTTGCGCAACTGGCAGACTGACCTTGTCACTCCAGTCGCGCTGCCTATACCAGTGTGACTCCCTGGAATGGAAGGGCAGGCCAGGGGGCAGAGGGGAGAGGTGCATCTCAATCAGCAGGAACGCTGAGCTTTCAGGCCTAGAGGGGACCTCCTTGCCCAAGGAGAGGCCCCCGCATTTTCCATAGCCATTCTCTGCAGCCAAAAAGCCACCCAGGGTGCAGTCTGGCCTGGACCCTGGCTGACTCAAGAAAAGGGCAACAAGTACCCACCTTAAAGGCAGGCTTTCAGCCCTTCGTGAGAACCATTATAGAAAACCTGCCAAGCACCAGGCGCTGGGTCCGAGAATGGAGGTGTGGCCCGGGGCTTACACGTCAAGCAGGTCTAGTCCCCATTACTGCAGAGGTCTGGAGGCTCCATGCAGCCCCATGCCCACACAAACACACACACACAGGGGGGCACAGCATTGGAGCTGGCAGCCGTGGGGAAAGGGCATGGAGTCAGCCTCCGGCAGCCTTGGGCCAAATTCTGTTTCTCCTACCACCAGCTGTGCAGTCTCCAAACCTCCCTGTTCTTTCCTAAGGAATGAGGACATTGACCCAAACCAGACCATCGGGCCTGGGATTTTCCTCTTCCGTGTCCTCTGAGTACCCCTGGCGTCTTCCTGCATGGTGGGGCATAGGCATGGGGGCAGGTGCCGCCGATCCACAGTCTCCGGTCTCCTGTCTAAGCCCTCTGAGAAGGGACTGTGTAGAGCGGAGGGAAAGTGGTGGGCCTCTCCCTGTGACATCCTCAGAGGCCTTAGGCAAAGTCAGAAATGACAGGGGCACCCCATCCCCCACCAGCTGCCATCCCAGGGCACCCAGCCTAAGGCCAGCTGCATTTGCATGTTGTTTGCATAAATTTGCATAAGCACTGTATACGTGTATCTTGTAGCCAATTAATTCATTCAGGCATCACTACATTCCAGGAAAGGGCATCAGGAGAGATGCGGCCCTGTGGGCTTCAGTGTCAAAAGGGCACCACAGCCCCTGCCCCATCCCACCCCTCTCCCAGCACAGAAAACATCTACCCTAGGCCTGCACCTCCCCTCTCCCAGCAGCTGCTGACCCTGAACCCTGACTGCCTTGGCAGCGACCATCAGAAATTAGTTTCCTGGGGAGACCAGTTTCTTGACACCTCCAATCCTCCCCTACTCTTCAGGGGCCCTAAATTAACCAAAGGAGAATCCTAGCTGTGGAGGGGACTTTTGGGATTTCTACCACAGAGATGGTCAACCTGATCCCACCTATAGATAGATAAGAGGGCCCCTGCTCTAGATAAGGAAGGGGTGGGACACACACCCAGCCTTGACCTAGGTCCTCACCCCACAAAGGCATCTGCCGAGACCTCAGGCTCCTCTGGGCGTTTGCAACCCACTGCATTTTACCTCTGGGGGAATGGAGGTCTGAGGAGGAGGAGGGTCTTGGCCAAGGTCATGGTGGCTGGAGCAAAACTGGAACCAGAATCCAGGGGAGCTGACATCCTTATGTACCCAGCAAAAGTGGAGAACATGCCTGGGAGACTGTAGGTGTTACAGAACAGTTTCCAGAATCAGAGCAGCCAGATGGGCCTGGAGCAGATGTGTGGAGACAGGGGTCCCTCCCACCCTTCCTTCCACCCTGGGGGAATGAAGGTTTCTGGAACTTCAGGAAAGACTGTGACCCTGAATGGGAGAGTAGAGGGAAGACTGGGCCTTGCTGCCACCAAATCAGGACCTCCACCCTCAGGCCAGCTGAAGGGACGGAGTGCATCCAGGGTCCTAGGACTCTCTTTCCACCCCGTCTTCCACCCTGCTTCTAGATGAGGGCCAAGGTAGGACCTGCAGTCTGCAGTCCCACCCTTGGCCTAGTCCCAGGGGATTGACTGTGGCAGAGGACAAGGAGCCAAGGGAATCTAGGTGAGGGGAGATAGGGACTTAACATGAGTACCCTCTGTACTTAGCTTACTGCTCCCGCTTCATCATCCCCATTTCACAGATAGGTTGAGCTGGCAGCAGTGGGAGGCTCAGCAAGGGGAGATTTGATGGTAAGCTCCAAGGCAGAGCATGGCCAAGTCTCCTGATTCCCAGACTAGGGTGTCCCGGCACCCGCTGACCTCTGGGACAGGGGACGAAGGAGGGGTAGGCATTCATCACCTACTGGTTCCAGGCCATGAGGTCAGAGGAGACAGGGTGCCCTGAGCACTTCTCAGAGGAGGAGAGTATTTAGATCAGGACACAGGACGAAGGAAGAAGACTTTTCCAAAAGGGAAGATGGGCCTGCCAAGAAGTATATTTCTTATGGAACTGGGCTTTTCAGTGGCCTGTCTTCCTTTCCCTGAACACACTTTCTTTTCCTCTCAGATTGGCTGGCAGTATTTTAATGGACACCCACTAAAGGTCAGGCACTCATCTGGAAATTTCTCACTTCATTCTCACATCACCTGAGGCAGCATATTCTTTCAGATTACCGCTGAGGAGATCAAGGTTCTGTGGGGAGACCCCATCTGAACCCAGGTCAGTGTGTTTCTTTATCCTCCAGATGCCTCCAGAGACCAAGCCCGGCCCTCTCCTCATCCCAGGAGACCCTGTGGCCGGCTGACTGTGGCTCCTGGCCTTTGGCGTAGAACTGAGATCCCAGCAAACATTTGAAGGTGGCTCTGAGGATGACGACATACTTGTGTGCGTGTCAGTGAAACCGGCACTAGGCCAGAGAGAAGTAGGCTCTTGGCGGCCTCCCTGGCGTTCCACAGACCTGCTCCAGGCTCTGCAAACCTCAGGGGGACATAGCCCCGTGTAGCTGCCACCCCTGTGGAGGCTGGGGACAGCTGATGGAACCTCACCAAGGCATGGCAGGCACTGTGAGGAGTGTTGGGGACAGAATCCCATGCTGTGGCTCATGCCCCCTCTGTCACACCACATGGACTGCCCCTGTTCCGCTCCCAGCACCACGCTGGCCCCAGTCCTGGGCACTAACGGGGGTCACCAAAGGGGTGCTGGCCACTGCCCACAGGAGCCTTCCACCTAGCGAGGCAAAGGTAGTAGAAAGATCCAGGAGTCGGGCTGCTGTCATTTCCTCAGTGCATGAGGCCAAGCAGGTCCCCTCCCCCATCTAAAGAATGGAGCAGATCCCAGTCACCTGGCAGGGGCCAGTGAGGCTTATGGGGGGTGATTTAAACGTGGCCCAGCGCCGGCCTCAAGGTGGGACCTCAACCAATGTCCTTTGCCTTCCCTCACCTTTCCTGGAGAACCAAGACTCATGAAACAGAAGGGAGCAGGTTGAAACACAGTGGGTGGGGAGGGCTTATCTCTGCTGCTGACCGCAGTGTGTTTGTAGATGAGCCTGAGGTCAGTGACCCCCACCTCTGCCTTGCAGAGCTGTGACTCTCCCAGTCTGAGTCTGTGAGTTGCCTCGGCGGAGTCTATCCTCCGCCTATCTCCTGCACCAAGTGAGCCGAGCGTGTACCACCCGGCAGAAGTAGCAGCACGTGGAGAGATGGCAGCCGAGGCCTCAGGGGTACAGGATCCCTCCACCCCAGGCTGTGGAGAGTCCCCTGGCATGAAGGATAGGACCTTGCACCCGCCATCAGGTGAGACAGACATGGGAATGGACCAAGCGGAAACGGGGGAGGGTGGGGGGCATGGTGTGAGCCCTTATCATGATTTCCCCCCTCCATGTGACCCCTGCCTGGTGGGATTTGCTTGGTGATGCCTGGCTACAGGGAGGGGCACATCCTTCTCCCCAGCCCTCCGTCCCCTTCTCAAAATTACAGCAGAGAACGTGCTGTGACCTTGCTCTTGCCGGGAAAGGGTGATGGCTGCGGAGGGGGAGAAAGGACTAGCCATGGCAGCACCCAGGTGTTTCCTATTTAGTTTGCTTACACAACTGGCTTTTTCCAAAAGCAGCTGAAGATAACTTATTGTAAACTTGACACCAAAAAAGTCACGGACTATGGGAGAATAAAGCAGAATTTAAGTATATTCAATGAGGATCATATAGTCAATGACTGTGGGTCTGAGTATCCTAGCCACCACAGTAAAACAAGAACTAAGATCAGTTATTGGAAAGGAGTAAGCATACTCATGTAACATTTTTCTTCTTGAAGCTTTATATAATAGGCATTGAGTGTTGTGAAGGGCAGAATCATTTAGTCCCTATTTACAAAAATTCAGAAGCAGATTAAGTCAGGCCGTTTGGCTCGTAAGAACCCTGGGAAAGCAAAGCGCGGTATTAAAGTGCCAGCCACCAAGGCGGAGTGTAGCCTGGACTAGGCTTCTGATCCTCAGCTTTGGCCCAGGAGTTCGAGGACTTGCTGCTTTCCTGGGCACCCTAGACCAGGGCGTTCTCAAACTTGACGGTGCCCATAATCTCTGGCAGGTCTGGTTAAAATGCACATATGATTCAGGATGTCGGGGGCGGGGCTGGGATTCTGTTAATTTTAAACCCTCTCTGAGGCCACCACACGCACCACCTTTGGAGCAAGGGGCTGAAACCCAGATTTCTCCAGCTGTGTGCCTTTTGCAAACTCCCCCAACTTAAAGGCGAAGTATGCTCCCGTAGACCCACAAGAAGGACCCGCTTCTGGGCTCATTGAATGTTCCCTGGAGTTACTGGGGCAGCTTCCTACATTCTCATTGGCCACTGGTGGTCTGGTCACAAACCAAGACAATTGACCTTACACAGCGAGTTAAGTGCCTACTGTGTGCTAGTGAGCTCCCTTAGAGGAATGGTTGCTCCCACCTACCCCATCCCCCGCCCGTTATTCACACTCCCCGTTTAGCACTTGCCTTTAGAATCTTCTCCACGCTCCTGTCCTGGCCACAGTTAAATCTCCCCGGGATATACAGATCATTACACTGAGCTCAGAGCGCTTTTCCTCTTGGGAGGGCTCACGTTTCAACAGAGGACTGGAAGAAGGGCAGCCTTAGGCCAGAGCACTAAGCTCTGGGGTACTGCTCTGGGGCTCCCAGGGCTCTGGAAGGCACCTTTACCATGCCATACCAATATTGGTTCGAAATAAGGTGCCAAGTAGAGACCGTTTGTGAACTTCAATCCCAGGCCCCAAGCACACTTCTGCCAGCTTGCTTCCCCATTCCGTGCCTCTTCCTCACAGACCATTCCTAACATTGGCTGCTGCTTCAGCTCTGGGTGGCTCCCACACAGTTTTACCCATTGGGTCACCACTGTGGCAGAGAAATTCTTTCATTTGCCCAGATCACCGTCAGGATCAAGCACCACAATTGCAGACTTGTTTCCTCCCTCATGAGAGAGGGAGCAGCTCCCTGTGCCCAGAGGCTTGGAGTACCCTCTAGATCCAGGAGGGCCTGGCCCCCAGCCATCAGAGTCCTGAGCCCATGGCTTCTCGTGGCCATCTCTTCACAGTCAATTAGGGTGTTTATTTTGTGAAATAGATGTGCTCTGTCCTAGCCTTTTGGATCAATCCAAGAAGCTGAGAGGACACAACGTTTTTCTCTCTGGCCCAAGAAGGTGGTGAGCCTCTGGATTCTCTTCCTGGATGCTCTTGTCTTCCGAGCCAGAGGGCAAGCCTCATCTTCAGAGAAAAGGGCCATCTCAGGAGGCTGACACTAGGGGCTTCATAAAGAGAATACTGGGCAACTCGAGGCCCAGACATGCTTCTGTGCACATACTGGACAATTTCTATGTTCCAGTAACACGCTGGCTCTGGGGTGGTCAAGAACCATGGGGGAGGTTTCCCAGCGATGCTGAGGGAGGTGAAGAAGGGTAAGAATGGGAGTACATTCCACTCAGCTGTGTGCCAGGCACCACACTGGGCACTGAGAATACAGACGTCAATGAGGCAGAGCTAGCTTCCAGCCCCGGGGAGCTCACATTTCTGTGGGAGCAGACAGTTAAGACACAACAAATGGGAAAAGTATGTTTCACGGCATGTTAGAAGAGAAAGCTTTCAAAAAGCAGAAAAGAAATAGGACAGGGTACCTGGATGGAGGATGGGGGAGGATGGGGGAGGATGGGGGAGGATGGGGCGGGTCTCACGGAGATGATGCTATTTCTGCAAGGACCTGAAGGAGGTCCTTCACACCTGAAGGAGTGCCACCGGGACAGCCAGGGGCTGGGCAGAGGTAACAGCAAGGGCTGTGGCCTGTCTGAGGACCCTGTCTGATCTGTTTGAGGGGAGGAGAGGAGGCCACCAGGAGAGGATGGGGTGTGGGTGGAGCAGAGAAGTAACACAAGCTGCCAAATGTCTGGAAAGAACGGCTCTGACTGCTCTGCCCTTGGCCTGATCAGACGCGAGGCTGGCACAGAGGAGGGGCTCAGCCAGTGTCAACGCACTGTCCTCCCCGCTAGGTCAGGACAGAGCTCCTCTGCTTCCAAGAGCTTGGCCCTCAAAGGATTCAGGAAACATTTCCCAATCCCGCACCCACATCAGACCCCTTGACAGACAAGTTGCTCCCAATCCTGGTGGGGGATACAGACCCGCAAAGCACCAAGATCAATGGAGTAGGTGGCACTTAAGCTCTTGGCCTACAGCAGGGCGTTCACCGACCTCCCTCCCTGTCTCCTCCAGGCCCCCTGTGTTCTCTTGTAGAAGTTCATGTTCCCCTTCGGACGTTCCTCCCTCTATAATCCTATGTCAGGCCAGCCTTCGTCTCTCTCTCTCTCCAACTCATGGGAAGCCCCACGAAGAGGCCCACCAGGTCTCTTTGGAAGGATGCTGGATGGATCCAAGGGTCCTTCCAAGAAGGCTGGAACACCTCTGAGTGCCTCCATTTCTCAAGCTCAATCTCCTTGTGCTGCTCGCTAGCACTGCAGGGAGGATGCTCAGAGATTGCCATCAGCCAGAGATACTTAAAAAGCACCAGTGGGGGGAGGGTGCACCAAAGGGGGTTAGGAACGGGCTCCTGTCTTCTTAAAGTTTACAACCCACTGCGGCAGCAACCCACCATCCAAGGGCAGGGGTGAGGCATTGGGCTCCCGGGTCCCCGATACATGGGACATGGTGTGGTATGGCAGGGTTCCCTGCGTGGGGAGCTCCGTGAGGGTGTTGCCCTGGGGCAGGATGGAGCAAAAGGAGGCAGGAGGGAATCTGGGCCTTGCAGAGAGCTGCGGGCGGAGAGTATTCTAGGCGGGAGGTGAGCAAGCATAGGTATTCATGGGTGGAACTCAGGGAGGGCAGAGGTGGGAGTGGGGAGAAGAGACCTTTCCCAGCAGCATTCCCTACCACTGTGGGGGAAGGTCAGAACTCTGCCTTTTCGCCCTCTGTTAGGCTCTGTGGGGTCCATTTGTAGGGCCCAGTCCCCAGAGTCTGGCCTCCAGACTCAGATAACCCTCCCTAGGGCTTATCTCTCCTGCCCTGCTGGGCTCCTGGGAATAATCTAAAGGTGCTGGTGAAATATGCCCCCCAGGCATTTTCTAGATGGAGTCCCAAGGGTCTGCCCCAGTCAGTTTCCCAGAAGATGAGGGACCTTAATGCCAATGGTACCCTGCCTAACCAGAGCCCCTGCCTCATCCCCTGTAAAGGGAAGGGAATAAGTCAGCAGCGCCCAGCCGTGAGGTGAGGTTGGAGGTGAGAAAAGGCTTCAGAAGGGCACACACACCTCTAGAAACATCTGTGCTGTGCTGTGATGCCACCCACAGGGGGCAAGGGAGGGCAGCAGGCAGGGGCAGGGGAGTGTGGGGGGGCCTAGGAGATCTAGACAGGAAAGCAAACCCCGTGGTCCCCAGCAGCTCCTCCTAAGCGCCCTCCGCCAGTTCCCAGGTCTTGAAACCTGGAGACAGTGGGCGAGGATTAAAGGTCTACCCCATGTGTGGACAAGGGAGGGAAAAGTGCCAGGACCACAGTGCCTTGGATGCTGCCTTGTTGAGAAGGGGTCTCTATGGCCTGCTGCTTCTGTGGCAGAAAAGAAGGAACCAGTTTCCAGTCTGACACCTCGGCCTCTTGCCATCTGTGCAAACCTGACCAACCAGTTACCCTCGATTATAAAATGGCAGTGGATTTGAGGTGTACCCCAGATTAAGGAAGTCACCCTGGCCTCCACGCCCTCATTGTCCTGATAAGTGGCAGCCTCTAGTCCTGCACACTTTGGCCCCGGCAGGGAGGAGGGGACGCAGATCAGGAAGTGGGCGGGCTGGCTCTGAACGTCGGGCGGGGGGCTGAAGGTCGGCGGTGGCCGCCGCCGCCTGGGCTGCAGGGCCAGGCTGGGATGGGGGGCTCTGCAGCTCCCCGATTGCGGCCTTGGGGGACGTGGCCGAGGCGGATAAGCAGCGGCGGGTTGGCGGGCGGCCACCTCCCCCGCAGGTCAGTCCCCGCGGGCGGGCGGGGCGCGGCGCGGGGAGAGGAGGAGCCTCGGGGCCCGGCCACCGCCTCCAACGCGGACCTTCAGCCGCCGCCGCGGCTCTGAGCGGCGGGCCGGACTGGTGAGTGACCCCTCCGCCGCGTCGCAGCCGGGCTGTGGGCTGTGCCCCGCCCGGGACCCCCGCCCCGGCGGCTCCCCGCTGCGCCCCCCGCCACCGCTGCTCGGGGGCCCGGCGCCGCCACGCGTCTGCAGGCGACCGGGGCCGTGGGGACCGAGCCACCACGTGCGCCGGGCGGCAGAGAACCCGGATCCC